GTAAAAAAATTTAACCATGACTGTTGATGTCTTCATTGATATGCCTGAATATTTCTCATTTCTGTATCCAGCGCATTGTACGCATCTTTTTCTTGATGATTTTACCATACATAGTGTACGTGGGACACATCGTTTGATATGTCTGAATTTTTCTCATTTCTGTATGAAGCACAGCATAGTACGTACACATCATCTTTTAGAATCATCCTTCATTTGTTTTCTTGGTGTATAAACACCATACTATTACGTGAGACATATCGTTTAATTCAATTTATTAGTTGCTGATTGGTTCTGGTATTAACTCTGATTAATTGTATGGTTTAAAGAGGTCTTTCATTGACGGCGATCACGATTGTAATTATACCGATGATTGTATAAATTATAACGATGTTAGGAAATGAAATGGCAAGTAATTTAACTATGTACAATATGAGAATTTTTTTTATTTGGAAATGATGATACAATAAACATAAGGATAACTTATTTAGAATCTTTAACAATTACATCAATTAAAGAAGAGTTGATAGCATGTGGAACATTACTTTTTAGTTTACAGAACCTATAGCAAGTGGTCTTCAATTAGTCTTAAAAACCTAGTAGTAATTAATAGCATAACAATTTGTTATGCTATGTTATATTGGCATATAAGAATTAATCTGACATTAACATTTTTATCTTTGGATCAACCCATATTATTCTAAGCTTATCAACTTACAATTATCTTGGTATTAACCCAGTACATTCTAGGATAATTCTTAAGATCAACCTGGATCCTTTGATGGATAAAAATGTTTGTGAGCAGTGGGTGCTTGTACTTTTTGAACAGCTTGTATACAATGTCTAAAAATTTGTAATCGGAATGTTTTAATAATTTTGTTTTATAATCTATTTTTTTTTATATACTATACTGTATACAAGAATTGTGTTGAGCTAAAAATGTAGGAAATCCAATATTTAAATGCTTGCTTTGTTTATTGAATTTATTATTTTTACAATTGAAAATTAGAATGAGAGAAATATATTTTTTAAATTTATTTTATTCCTTTTTGCAATCAAAAAATACAAAAATACATTACAAAAGAAGTAAAAAAAAAACAAAAAAAAAAACAATGAATTGCAAGAAAAAAAAACAAAAAACACCTGATTAATGCCAAGGAAAAACTTTTGCTATACCTTGGCACTAATTAGGTAATTATTTTAAGGAATTAGTATTAAAAACGTATAAATTGTTGTTTCAGTCTGGTTTTCATAGATGTTGAAAATATATTTGATCATGTTTTAATGAACAATTTAATTTTTTATTATATAAATTTCTGAGATTTTTTTTATTCCATTGATATAATTAATATGAGCAACCTTTTATGTAAAAGAAATTGTTGTGAGGAGTTATAAATTTGATTAACATTTCAATGATTATAATAGGATTTAAGAAGCTGTTAAGAGATGGAATATAATTGATTATTGAGTGAGATATAAATAGAGGCATCCGTTGATTTATCTTATAGTAGAACATATTAAATGCATAATATGTCCTCATCTGCCTTTTTTTTTGCATTACTCCAAAATACATGATGTACTGATTTTTCTCCAAAGATACATGATGTACAGTAGTTTTTTATTAGCATGGCATCTTACTTTCTTTACTTTTTGATGTAAATTTCGTAACGGTTATGGCGATCTTGTCTTGTGTTTTGATTTTTAAAAATCCAAAAACATTTGTTAGTGTTTTATTGTTCTCCTTCTTGTCGCATCTTTCTTTTTTAAAATCTTAGTATATCATTTTTTCATGGTAGGTTTTTGATATGTTAAATTATATTGTGATGCTCTTTAATGTCCCAAATTTCTATTTAGCTTTTAATGTATATTATATATACTGAGTACTGATTGTTTTATAAATTTCTATTTTTTAGATTCTGTATAGTGCCTCTGAACATTTTAAATGGATATTGTTAGCGGTTTATTAAATAAAGTTATTATTATTATTATTATTATTATTATTCAAATGTGCTTAGAATCATAAAAATCTGCACCTCACTTATTTTAATATAAATTAGCCTGAAATTTAAATATCCTTCATCAAACAGCACTGAATTTGAGATGAAGCAAGGATGGAACAGTGAATAAATGATAATAATAATAATAATAATAATAATAATAATAATAAGAATATAATAATAATAATAATATAATAATAATAATAATAATAATAATCATCATTATACATTTCTAATGCTCATATTCCATCTTAATGTATTATTATTATTTTTTTTTTGTCGTTCAGTTATTTATATAGCACCTTTCTTTGCCGTACATTATTACCCCTAGCCGTAAACAATACGTTCTATTATTTTCAGCCACATTCAGAACAGTAGCATACAGTCTTAAATCCCCACCTCTCAATGAACCTTTCTAAGTTGTCAATCAAACAATTGACCAATCAGAACAGGGCCAGGAATACACACGTACCCCCCTCCCTTATACACGTTTCACCACAAATGCACATGTTTACGTACATTTACGCCAGCTTGGGTTCTTGGCAGCAATATCAAAGGGGCGAGGCTTAGCGGAAAGGCCCAATGGAAACTAAGAGCCATGCTGCACCACCTGTCTCACAATTATTATGCACTAACTCCTCTTCATGAGCCTAGGAAGTGGATTAAAAAAATATTTGGTTTGTCACATTGACATTGAAGCCAAAAAACCATGCGATTGGAAGACAAGTATATTTAACCCATGAGCTGAGACTAGAATACTCTACTTAAATACTTTTGGCAGAAGCTTCTTGCTGTTAAAAAGACAAAACAAAGTATTTTTCGTCTCTTATCCTTCTCCGATAATCTTTCAAAAATATGGTTTGCTAAGCAAGATATAACAAAAAAGTGTCGCCTAAAGGCCTTATTCTAAAGTAGACTTCTTCATGACACAAATGGTTTCCAGAAATAATTCACAGCAAAAATGCATCATTTATAACTAAAAGCACTCAAAAACCAAATCAATAGTCTAAAAATAATGTAAATTACATCAGTGAGACAGACTTCTGCTGAATTACTCTGACACAGACATTACCATTTTGATGTATGTTATTGAATCATGATTCAGCGCAAAGCAAGAAGCTTATTCTAAGCGGCTAGGCTGGCCTGGAATCATATAGATTGGAATTAACCTACACTAACAGTTCTCCATTTGAGAGGTGATTCATTTCATTGATTTAATCATGATATTTAATTATCAGCAACTGGAGGCCTAGCTGCGACACCTTTTCTGTTTTATTACAAGTCACAATATTGCCCCTTTATTACTTACAATGCTTCCGAGGTTTCAGATTTGTTGAGGTTGATGTTTTAACATTAGAATTGATGGATAGTGACAAATAATACAATAAATCTTAACAAGGTTATTCGAGTATTTCTCTTTGGAATTGGGTATAGTGAATACAGTAGCAGAATCCAACCATGGATTTTAAGATAGGTTTATTTTCATATAAGGAAAACTATTGCTGTCAAACAGTGGCATATCTAGGGGGGTGCATGCCGCCTAAAAAATACTGCCCCCCCCCCCACAACCAGTCATTCCCTTCCCCCCAAAAATCACCTTAAATCTCCTTATGATCATGTGAGCTAGAGCCCTTCACCTAATCATTGAGCCCCTCTTCAATTCACCTTCGCTTTGCCATCAGCCCCCCCATCCCCATTTCAAGACTCCTAATGCCAATGCCACTGCTCTCAATTGAAAATGGCATTTTCCATATACAAGATACAAGATAAAATACCTTACAAAATAAATGTATTTGTCAGTTTAATCATTTCTGCTTTGGACAATGCAAACTATTCTGAAAAGTTTAATTTAGAGTTAGAACCATTGTTCTGGAGATATTTTGGTCTGGGATTTTAGAAATTTAAAGGACCCTCAAATCAGTTGATCTATTTTTTAAATATCTGGTATGAGGTATTTGCCTTAAAATCCCCATAATTGGTCGTCACATCCACACCTCACTCTGTATTGTCACTAAATTTTACGTGGCACATCTTTGGTGTATGGTCTTCGCCTAGGCAAAATTTGGAGAAGATCCAAGTATGGAAAGTGACTAAAGTGTTGGTCAGGAAAAGCATGTCAAAGATAAAAAAAAAAATAGAACAAAAACAATGGTTTTCCTGCTACTTCTAGGGAAAGCAAATTAGAACAAAAACAATGGTGGAGTTGGATAGCTTTGTGGTTAAGGTACTTGCCTTCCAATCCCAGGGTCCTGGGTTCAATTCCTGTCATGGTACAGGATTTTTTCTCACGACTAAGACAACCCTGCTTTCCAGAAGCCTCATAATGAGAACCTTAGTTTATGTAGAACTCATTGTGTGTTTAAATAAAATAAATGGTTTTTCCTGCTGCTGCTATGAAAAACCAAAAAGACACCTATTGCAATTTTAAAGTTATGTAATACCTAAACTTAAAACACTTTAAAAAATACAAATGGCAAGGCATATTAAGTAATTAAATAAAACATCATACTTTATACATGTATCTGGTCAAAAATTATTTTTTTAAAAATGGGATGCTTTTTATAATGTATTACTTTACATTCTTATAACTCTCTTGATTTTGGAAGGGTATTCTGCTTTCATTTTAATTGTCGTGAAACACAAAAAATGACTACAAATACTGGTAAAATTAATCATCTTGCATATTGTTAAATACTATATTGTGGTGAAAATTGTTTTGACCCACACTTATCTCCTCGATGAAATTTTCCCTAATAAATTAATAGTTCATGGAATTTTAAGAACATATGGCATAATATGAAGTGTTCACGCGTATTATTGTTGAAAGGAGGTTGCTACTGATTTCTGGGATAGCAAATTTTCTGCATCTGGGTTTCTAAATGATTTTGACAACGATTTGTTTGCCCTTGGCTATAGTTTAGAGGTTTGCTAATGATTTTACTATGTTGACTTTATTGTACAAGTACAGTACTTTATAGTTATCATTTTCTTTTGTTCTTTGTATAGGTACATCTTTGCCAGAATTCAGAAGAAAAAAAAATATTGAAATCTCACAAGACTAGTAAGAGTTGGATTGAATGTTTCTTTAATGTGTAAGTATAATACTGAACAATATTAGCACTGATGTAGTAAAATAGTCATATGAACTCATCACCACACAATCTGTCATTTCTTGTGTGGAGCAAATGATAGGCCTAGTGTATAACTAGACTTATCTTAACTATCGGGAAATTTTCAAAGAACACACATTCATGGGAATAGCCAGGTTTCAGTGTGGTGGTGGGGATGAGGGGTGCAAAAATTGAGAATGCAAATTAAATCCCTATTCTAATTAAAACTTATGGTTTAGCATTTTAACTAATTTGCCGTGGGGTGGGGGGATGCGTCCGCACTATTACGTGCAATGCGCTGGACTTAGATTTTGTCTGCTGCTTACATCATACCATGGAGATATGATCATACTAGCCTGAGAACAAATTTATAATCTCTTGGCTCAAAATTTTTCAAAGTTGTTTTTTGTGTTAATAATTTAGTTTTTTCTTGAATGAACACCATCCAGATTACACTTTGGTTGTATTTTTTTTTTGTAAAGTTAATTCGTCAACATTGAAAAGAATCAGGATTGATAATATATAGACCTGAACATGATGGCAATTGTTAAGATTACTGCAAAGATTCTGTGCGGATTTAGCAATCGCTAAAGATAAACAAAGCAATGGCATTGAAGTAAACAACTTTTGTCAATGTTTAAATCATTCATGGGTACCACACATCCTAGAGAAATATTAATTGTAAACAGTTTTATTTATACACAGGGTCAATCAAGTTCTCTTTCAAAGGTTAATCTTCAGGGAGGCTATGTGCTTAAACTACTGCAACAAACAAAAGATGTAAAAGTAGAATAACAAGAAAAAGTGCATTATACAAATTTAAACTAAAACTATGAATTAAAAATTTAAAACAAATATTTACGTCTATTCATCTATCTGGTAATATTAACTTTAATTGTGTAGCCTATTTCCCCCCCCCCCCCAAAAAAAAACAGCCTTTGAAATATAAATGGAACAGACGGCCCCTGGCACCAAGCACGAGCCAACCTCCAAACATGCGTCATCTTCATTTTTCTTGAAAGACTTTACACACCTGTATATACTATAGCCTCTGCTGACAAAAAGTCCTTGTTTTCTATCTGCAGGTTTTAAAGCATTTGAAGCACAGACCCTCGTTATTTGTAATTTTTTTATATACTTATGAATTGGACACATGACTACATTTGAACATATATTCTTAGTCTTAGTGATTGGAGGCTCTGCGATTTCCATCGTTCCATTAAATCACAAATTACCAATGCTAAATTTGTGGGCTAAAAGAAAATGGAAATAAAAAAAAATTATGGCTGAAAATATAACAAGCAATTGACCTTTATAATTTTTTTTACTATTTTGGTTTAAAAATAAAAAAAATTATTTGTATAGCCAAAGATGAAAGCTGATAGATCGTGTGCGTAATATCATCCTTTGTTGAACTAATTTGAATCATTAGTTTCTCTATTTTTAGCAAAGAAGTATGTTATTTTTATATTGGTAAAACTAAAAGAGTTCTATTGAACTCCAGAGGGCAGTCCATAATATTATTTAGTATGCTATTGATATTTTGGTGGATAACATTAAATTCACTATAGTGAAGCTTTGTATTATTAATGCGTGTGGAGGTGTACATGATATACGATAATTATTAATAGTTTATATGTGTTGTTAAATATTGATATTGTATTATATAAACTTATTATTATGCATAAGTTTGCAGTATTGTAGAAATTGATGATTATCTGTAAATTGTCAATGATATTTCATGGGAAAGGGTGGAAGCAGTATTTTAGTCCTTCAAAAATATAAATAGCCTCTAAATAAATATAAAATTCTGAGATTGCTCAAATTTGGCACTGATATAGGGAAACATAACATGAATGAAATGATCATTGAAGTGGTTTTTGTTTGCTTATCAGTGGTCACAATTATAGGCACATTTACTGATCTTGGAGCATACTCAAATTTCATCTTTCCTTTGTATTCTACACATTAACTATTGTGGGATAAGATATGGTGATTGACTTTATAAAGCAATCTTCCTTATCAATAAACTAGAGGAAATTATTACACTTAGGTTAGATTAATGTATTCAAAGAATTCTTTTTGTACTTTACAGGCCCTCTGGAATGTTTTTAATGCAATAATCTAACCTTTGTATAATAACTTTGACTAGTGTATGATATGCAACTATACTAATTACTTTTATGTAACCTACAAATTGAATCATTCATAATATGTGGTACTTGTTTATATTCGTTTGTTTTAAAATGAGAAGCATGGTACAGAGGTAAAGCTCCAGGGTAGTAATTAAATGTTGTTAGTTCTGGCCGATCATATCTCTGTCCTTGAACAATACACTTTACATGTGTCTCCACCAAAAGGTGTGAATGTGTGCCTTGTAGGATGCAAATGCTTTGAAATAAATTGTGCGGAACTAGTTGCATGGAAGAATGCTTAGCAAGGCATGCAGGATTTTCAATCATCTGTGTACTTAATTCAGTATCCATTTACCAGGGTTACTTAAGAACATATAGTAGACAGATACAGAAGTATTATGCACTAGGTTGTATTTAAACTGTGAAAATAATTTTTTGTAAGGGTCACTTAAGTATAATCAAGTAGATCAGGTATTCTAAATGTAATTTATCTGTTTATTTTTGGCTCATTAAATAATATAAGTAAAATTAAGAAATATATATAAAGTGTGTTGGTGAATTTTTTTTTCAATTACATGTTTTTGTTAGTTACAACATACGCCAGAACAGTAACAAGACTGCAACAGAAATTGCTGGACTCTGTTTACAGTAATGCAATTTTTGTATAAAGTTTGAATATAATTACGGATATAAAATGTTGAAAAGATGATACATCATATAGAAGATATTAATAACACAGAAGCAAGTTCATCATTGAACAATCCACTTGCACGCAATCATCATCAGAGTCTCTTCTCCTACATAACGACATAGTTTGCACAAAAAAAAAAAATATAGAATCTACTTGAATGTTGAATAGAGTGATCTAGTGCATCTTCAACTTGATGGTGTAATTCATACTCATTAAGGCTTGTTCAATTGTATGTGACAGCTATTAGGCAACCATTACTTCATCTAAACTTAAGTCAAACTATAATGTTAAAGTATACTTGATGCAGAATACCTCCCCAATGGCAGCACTCTCAATAAATAGCGCCACTGTGTGATGAATATCTAGAACAGCGTCACTCAGCATTAAATGTATTAATTTGCTAAGCATTTGGTTAAAAAAAAAACTGGAATCTTGTAGACGCCCAGACGTTTGAATTTAGTATTTATTAAGTATTCAAATACACTCTGTCGTTTCTAACAATGGAAACCGCCAATTTTTAGTTAAATTTTGGAATGTAATCCCGACAACATTCAATGAAACCGAATGTTGAGGTTTCTGTTTCAGCGTAAGAGATAGACCTGTTCCACTGTTTACTACTGCATGCATGGAAGTAGGGAATATAATTTGTGCCACCTCAAAATGCACTGTAGGAGTGCACAGCCAAAATGGCAGTACAGTACTGTACTTAAACATCTATCCAGTTGATACAGTCTGGTTAAGGATTTAGTTTTAGCTTTAGATTGATTATTCATGAGAAATAACGCCTACCCTTAATTCACAATTTTTAATCACTGTATAATATGTGTTTTTTTACAATCTGCTTTTCTGTGCATTTTCAAAAATTATCAAATTATTGATGCTGTTGTTGTTGGTGTTGTTGTTATTGTCATTGTCGTAGCTGGTGTCGGTGATGGTTGGTGCGCTACTGTTACTGTATTATTATTATTATTATTGGTTTGCATGACCACCTAAAAAGGTGTAATAGTTAAGTGTCATACTGGTATTATTCTGTATCGTATGATCACTCAGTTCAGTTACTGAACTCAGACCCACCTGTATGGTACAGCAACCACTCCCTAATTTGGAAAAGCTTACTGTACTCGCCAGCTAGCATCCAGTATAGAAAGTAAAAAATACTTCTGTGTTCGGCCCAATGGCAGTTTTCTTGTTTTTAGGCATCAAATTATATTGTTGTAGAGAATTGATATCTAGAATAGTGGGGATTGTGCATTCATAGGTTACTGTATGACATTTACGGTATATACATATTATTTAAAATGTATGATGATTTAACTGGCTCAATGTAAATTTCAAATAGGTCTCAGATTATAATCATAATGAGGAATGTAACATTTTCTTTCTAGAAGAAATAGGTAACTTTATTTGAAATATATAATTTTAAACTTGGTAGTTTTTCTGCAATTCTCTGAGCGATACTGTTAAGTAGATTTTTTTGTGTGTTAATGACAGTGGGAAGAGAGATTCAACAGATACTCTTGGCCTACTTACTGCACAGCTAACGTAAACTCAGATTTTATGATAGATCGCTACTACATCCGTGCCCTTAAAAATATTATTATATCACCAAATATCAAATTACTAGTTTGCCTTTCTTTCATGTAGACATATTAAAATGCCAGTAAATGCAAAGTTTTTTTGTTGATATTGCAAAGACACTGAACTGGTTTTCTCTGCTGCTGTTTTGTAGAGGAAAAGTTGCATATTCATTAAGAATTTTATGAGGGTCGAGACGACATTATTTTTCATTTGTCGAAGTGTCAGTTTATTGTTCTGACATAGCTTTAATGGTTAACTAACTTTTCTAACAATACCCTTCTATCTTCTCTCATCCAATTTTCCAAACGGTGCCATTCAAACTGCAATTAATTATTTCCATTGGCGGCCGGGGAGGGGGAGGGAAAGGTTGCGGATGTATACTGTATCCCCACCCCACATGCCAGCAAATTAGTTCTATTAAGGAGTTAAATTTGACTAAAATGACGATTAATTTTTTATTGGAATAGGGACTTAGTTCCGCATTTGGTGTGAGGAGCTCTGGTGGTGTACCTTCCTAGGAGTACCGTGGTATGAACAGACAACGTTCAAATCCGAAGAATTATTCAGTTAATATTTTG